TTTGGGGGGGGGGGCAATTCCTCAGGGAATTAAAAGAACTTTTTGGTAGGTTCGCGCCAAGCGCATAATATGAGCGTTTCGTTCCAATTAAAAAAATCAATTTGCTCCTGGCGACGCGTAATGTCTGGGATTAGCGTCTATCCAAGGCTTACCGACGTGTGTGCACTGCACCCCGATGATTTATTCGACCGAGTGGGATTGGCATAAAGGCGCGTTATGGTATCGATCCTGCTGTGCCCCGGGATGCCCCAGGATGCCCCAGGATGCCCCAGGACACTTTGGATCGCCTCTCCTCCGTCGCGATCCTGAATAGAGAGCAATGTCAAGAGGCAAGATCATTCGAATCTCCCAGGTTCGCAGGAAGCTGCGTGTTCTACGTAGCTCTTGCCCCGGTCCACACAGCTACACCAGCTGCTCCTTCAGTGATCCCTACCACTCCGTTCTCTGCGGCCTCTCGCTGCCCTCCTCGTTCGCCAGCATCGCTGACGTCGGCAGCTTCCTCGTCGCGCGCGACTCGCGTCGATTACGTGGGCTGAGCGCGAACTTGACTTCTGCAAGGACGCGTTTCGAAAGGAGGAAATAAAAAATGTTCCGCCGTTAAAGGACGCCTGCGCTCCAGAGCGTCGCCCCTCTGTCTGCCTCTGTTGCGTAAGGTCGTCGACGTTGACGTCCGCAGCGTCAACCGGCCGAATGTGGATCAGCAGGGGAATAGCCTGACTAACACCTGGTAGATCCTAACGTTACGCAAGCCGTTCCTTTGGATTTCCCGAAGATACATGTGTTTTCCTCTCTCTCTCTCTCTCTCTCTCTCTCTCTCTCTCTCTCTCTCTCTCTCTCTTATTTTTCTCTCGATTCTCGTTTGGCGCTCGCGTGTCTCAGGTCAGAGAACAGACCGTGGAGTCGTGGGCACCATAGATAGGCGGCTGCGAGTAGTCCGGTCGGCACTTTTTTCAAAGTTGGGCCATCCCTAATATCTTCGAATCTCGTGACTAAGATGAATTATTTGTATCCGTGGTTTATGATCGCTCGGGGTAGAGAGCACTCCTGTACCGGGGAAGGGATACGAGAGTGAGAGAGGAGCGTGAGTCTTGGTACGAGCGAGACGGAGTCGGGCAAGAGTCGTGTTGCCAGAGAAAGAAAGAAAAAGAATGCGAGAGAAAAGGAGAGAGATAAAAAGGAAGGAGAGAGCGTGATACGCAGGTACTTGGAAGGAGGAAAGACGTAAGGCCCGTTCGATCTCTATGCGGTAGCAGCGGGCCTCGTCGTATATACCAGCTAGCCAGTCAGTCAGGTATACCTTCAGGCTATTCCATGATAGACAAGGTCAGCCTCTCCCGTGTGCGCCAGGACTGACTGCCAGGCAGTCAGCCAGTGAGCCAGTCAGTCTGCCTAGCAAGCAGTCCGGTTTGCCGGTTGGCTTCTAGTATATCTCTCTTTTGACTATTAATCCCAATATTCGCGATTCAACCAGCCAGCCAGTCAGTCAGCCGATCAAGTAGAGCCCAATTCGGTATCTCGACTCCTAGAGAATCTTATTTGTCAATAGTTGCTTAGCCATGCAGCGCGCAGTACCTTGCATATAACAAATGAATTTGCTATGTCTTTCAGATATTCGGAAGTAAAGCGGACCTGCAATTACACACTCAGATCCACATGAGAGAGGCGAAGCCGTACAAGTGCACCCAGTGCTCTAAGGCATTTGCGAATTCGTCCTACCTCTCTCAGCACACAAGAATCCACCTTGGTATAAAGCCCTACCGCTGCGAGATCTGCCAGAGGAAGTTCACCCAACTCAGCCACCTCCAGCAGCACATCCGTACCCACACCGGGGACAAACCGTACAAATGCCGTCACCCTGGGTGCACCAAGGCCTTCAGTCAACTGAGCAACCTCCAGAGCCACTCCCGATGTCACCAAACGGACAAGCCCTACAAGTGCAACTCCTGCTACAAGTGTTTCTCCGACGAGCCCAGCCTCCTGGAGCACATACCCAAGCACAAGGAATCGAAACACCTCAAGACCCACATATGCCAGTACTGCGGAAAGAGCTACACGCAGGAAACTTATCTGGCGAAGCACATGCAGAAGCACGCGGAACGCACGGACAAGCGGCCGCCGATAATCGGAACGGGATTGAGGCCCTCGATTCACGCGGCGATGGCGCATCATCATCAGGATCACTACTGGCCCAAAGTCAGCCCGGACTCCGTAATCTCCGAGCTTCACGACAGGCTACCCCATCACCACGCGGCCGCTGCGGCAGCGGCAGCCGCGGCCGCCTCGGACTATCATCAGAATCCAAACAACGAGATGATAATGCCACCGCACGGTCACCGAGGTGACGCCTCCATTGAGAATGACTCGACGAGGCAGCAGACGCCGCAGCCGGGCAATCATCCGAACAGCAGTTCGGCCTTTACTCCCATATCGTCAATCTCTATAAATTCGATTTCCTCGATGCAACATCCGCTCAATCCATTGAATCATTTACACTATCCGGGTAGTCATCATCCGGCCTCGAGGCCCTACCTCTACGAGGCGTTCAATACCACCCAAAAGTCATCGCCCACGTCCTCGGCGTCCGGCGTCACCTCCGGTACCACGAGTAATCAGAATGCGACGTCCTTTCCGAATCAATTGATAAGTCTTCATCAGATACGGAATTACGCTCATCAACCTAACCTTGGTAACTTGGGCAACATCGGGAACCTAGGCAACCTTAGTAATTTGAGTAATTTGAGTGCGTCCATGGAAAGTCATGCGCTTCTCGGTGGACTTAAGGACAAGCAGTAGAGTTACTCTACTTCTTCCTCCTCCTCCTCCTCCTCCTTCTCCTCCTCCGTCAGCTCTTCTTTTTCTTCTTTAAATTCAATTTTCATTTGCACAACTTAGTAATGCCTATTCTTTTGAAAAAAGCAGCGGTAGATGCTCTCTTTTGTAACAGCCGGTAGATTGGGCTTTACGAAAGACAACATCTGTCTTGCACAGTACAATGGAGACACACGCGTTACACATCCAGGATATAAGGTATCCTGCTGATCGTGAGGTTCAGGGATACTAAGGTCAGCAGTGCCAGAGCAATGTTAATCTTACTGTCCAGTGCCACCCATGTTTCTTTAGACTAATCCGCTGAAGTCGAAGCAGCCAATTGCCCAAGTCTTCGTTCTCAAAGGAGATCTCCTTAGTTGAATATTGTGCGTGCGAGATCATCGCAATGAACGAGCGATACGCAAGAGTACTTACGTTTAGTCATTCGTTGATACTGCGCGAGTATCGGCATAGTTAATTTCGCTGTAATTCATTGCCAACGATCATTATCGACCTCAATGTTTTCCGAGCTATTTTATTTGTTTTTATATTGTGTCTACGATTTTTTTAAGAATTCCCATTTCTCGCCGAAGTAACACAACAACCGAATATTTGCACGTAGAGATGCGAATGCAATCCCCTGAATGAAAAAAAAAAAAAGAAAAATAAGAAAGGGAGAAAATAGGCTAAGAAGGGACGCGAGGACATGGGAACGTAACGCAAAAGAGGGTACAAAGGCGTCGACGCCATAAGCGTCACGACGACGACGACGACGTCGTCGTGCGCACACAGAAAGAACACATGAAAAATCTGATGAAAGAAAAAAAAAGCAGAATGGGGGAAACGAGAAAAGAGTAGTAGAATTGACGTTGACCACAAAGAAGAGAGAGAGAGTGGGTACGGAGAACCTCCTGTACATAGCTATTATATAAATATATAAATAAATATTATTATATTATTATTAATTATTATTGTATTAATTATTAATTAATATTTGGTAGGTGTGTAAGGTAAATCTTAGGCTCGAATAAGTGAACATTCTCTTAAGTACCTTGTGCAAGGATGAGAATGGGGAGAGACGCGATGTGCACTTTATTTGTAACTACCTTTTTTCTTTTTTCGCACTACGGACTCGCAATCGAATGGTCGGGCAAATAATTCTGGGCAACGGTGGGGATTGGGGGGGAGGGGGGGGGTCGAAAAA